ATAAAGATTTACCCTTGGCAGGGTCATTATGAGTCGGAACCGACTCCTCGGTATTTAACAACAACAACAACACCTTATTAGGAGAATATGATAATGTCGTTTAATCATGTCCTATTTAAATTTTAAAATAAATATAGGTGACTATACAGGCTATTTTAGTACTATGTTGTTATGTGCCATCGAGTTAGTTCCGACTCATAGCGACCGTGAACAGGGTTTTCGAGGCTGTCAATCTTTACGGGAGCAGAAAGCCTCATCTTTCTCCCGCAGAACAGCTGGTAGTTTCAAACTGCTGACCTTGCGGTTTTCAGCCCGATTCGTAACCATTAGTACTATGATGTAGATAAAATATAATTTTATTAATATCTATGACAATCTGTTACATATGTCTCCTTTGCAGTTACAATCTAAGATTCATGCATCATATATAATCATATGATGATGTCATTGTTTGAGACTTTCCTAATGAACCAAAAACTAAGAAAGTAATTCTCTTTATTAGTTTATTTATACTCACTCACTTGTATTAAGAAGTAGCAATACTTTCATACAGAGGAACTCTTCTTGGCTAACTTGAAGCTTGACAAACTCCTGAGGAATCTGCCACATGGTAAGGCATAATGAATAGAATGATGACTCTTTCATCCGCTGTCTTGTACCACAGAACATACAAAAGAAAAAAGCAACATACATAAAAGAAAACAGCATTTTAGCCAGTATATGTCATTTAAAGGGGAACATGATTTTGATAATTATCTTATTAATTATTGAGTCCACCATTTGACTGCCAGTTTGTCACCCTATGGTGGCTTGCATGTTGCTGTGAAGCTGGAAGCTTTGCCACAAGTATTTTGAATGCAGGCAGGATAACCCATGTTGGACAAGCTTCAGTTGAGCTTTCCTACTAAGACAGACCGGGAAGAAGGAGAGGTGGAGTACTTCTGAATGTTTAGCCACTGAAAACCTTATGAATAGCAGTGAAGCACTGTCAGACACCAGCAGAATACTGAATATTGAAACATGATGAACAGTACCAGAATATTGTCAGATATAGTGCTGGAAGAAAAGCCCCTCAGGTTGAAAGGCACTCAAAATATAACTGGAAAAGAGCAGCCTCCTCAGAGTAGAGTTGACCATGATGATGCTAATGGAGAAAAGCTTTCAGGACCTTCATTTGCTGATGGGGCACAACTCAAAATAGGAGAAACAGCTGTAAATATCTATTAATAACAGGAACAAAGTATGATTACAGGAAAAGAAAATAGTCAAAAATGAAATAGAACATATAAACATCAAAATCCTACTAGGCATTAGTGAGCTGAAATGGATTGGTACTGGTCATTTTGAACCTGACAATCACATGGTTTACTATGATGGACATGACAAATTGAAGACAAATAGTGTTGCATCAAAAAGAATATTTCAAGATTGTTCTTTAAGTATAATTTTGTCTGTGATAGGATAATATTCATACGTTTACAGGGAAGACCAGTTAATATCATAATTATTCAAATTTATGCACAACCATTAAAGCCAGTGATGATGAAATTGAAGAATTCTACCAACTTCTTCAGTCTGAAATTGATCAAACATGCAATCAAGATGTATTGATAATTACTGGTGATTGGAATGCAAAGCTTGGAAACAAAGAGGAAGAATCAGTAGTTGGAAAATATGGTCTTGGTGATAGATAAGATGCTGGAGATTGCATGATAGAATTTTGTAAGACCATGACTTCATTGCAAATACATTTTTTAAACAACACAAAAGACAATTACACATAAGGACGTCACCACAAGGAATACACATAAATCAAACTGACTACATCTGTGGAAAGAGACAGTGGAAAAATTCCTTATCATCACTCAAAACAAAGCCAGGGGCAGACTGTGGAACAGACCATCAATTGCTCATATGCAAGTTCAGGCTGAAGCTTAAGGAAATTAAAACAAGTCCATGAGAGTCAAAATATGACCTTGGACATATCCCATCTGAATTTAGAGATTATCTCAATGACAGAATTGATGCATTAGACACTAAAGACTGAAGAGCAGAAGAGTTGCAGGATGACATTTAGAGTATCATACAGGAAGAAAGCAAAAGGCCATATAGAAGGCCATAAAGAAATAAGAGCTCAAAATGATTGTCAGAAGAAAATCTGAAATTTGCTCAACAGCACAGAGATGCCAAGTCAAATGACAGACACGAGGAGATATAACAGCTGAACAGAAAATTTAAAGGGTAGCTAGAGAAGACAAAGTCAACTATTATACTGCAAAGATCTAGACTTAGACAACCACAAGGGAAGAACACAAAAATCATTTCTCAAGCTGAAAGAACTGAAGAAAAAATTCAATATTTGATCTGAAATACTGAAGTATTCTTTGGGTAAACTATTGAATGATGCAAAAAGCATCAAAAGAAGATGGAAGAAATACACAGAGTTACTACAACAAAAAGAAACAGTTGATGCTCAAACATTTCAAGAGGTAGCATATGATCAAGAGTCAGTGATATTGAAGGAAGAAGTCCAAGCTGGACTGAAGCCACCAGGAAAGAACAAGGCTCTGGGACTTAATGAAATACAAAGTGACATCTTTCACCAAACTGAGGCAGCACTGGAAGCACTCAGTAAACTATGTGAAGAAATTTGGAAGACAAATTTCTTGGCATAGCTAACGTGTTGGAAGAGATCCATATTTGTGCTCATTCCAAAGAGAGGTGACCAACTGAATGCAGAAATCATCGGACAGTATCATTAATATTACAAGCAAGTGAAATTTTACTCAACATAACTAAAAAATGGCTACAACATTACATTAACAGGGAACTACCAGAGATTCAAGCTGGATTCAGAAGAGGACATGGAATGAGGGATATCATTGCTAACTAACATCAGATGGATCCATGCTGAAAGCAGAGAACATCAGAAATACATTCTTTTTTGTTGTTTTTGTTAAGTGCCATCGAGTTGATTCTAGCTCAGCAACCTTGTATAGGGTTTCAGAGGAGCGGCTGGTGGGTTTGAACCACTGACCCTGTGGCTCAAACTAACCTTGCAGTCCGGCACATTATCCTGTAGTGCCACACCAAGACTCCAGAAAGATGAAGGTTGAAGAAATTTGTTAAAGATATTTTCTCAACCATCTGCTTGTTTTTAAAATCCACCATAAGTCAAATGGAGCTAACAGAAACTGTGTAAAGCTAGCTAGCTTTTGACTCAGAAGAGCTAAGACTGAATCCTATCATGGACATTCTCTAGTAGGTTATACAATTCCTCTGGCCTCAATATCACTGACTGTAAAACAAAGGATGGTGAACCCTTACATATCTCAAGGGGTTGTAGGATAAAATGAAACAATACGCATGAAATTTATCTGTAAACTGTGAAGAACCATGCAAGTTATAGAATTCTGAAT